CTCGCGAGTTCGATAACAGTGACGAACAGGAACCAGAAGTGAAGAAGGTAAATCGCCCTAACATTTGCCATCAGGCAGCGGCATGGACGCTCTCCCAGTTCATGTGGTTCCTGAGCCAGATCTTCGAAATGCCAGATGCCGACGTGTTAACAGAGCTGATGAATGCCAAAGTGGTTACGATCAATCGTTGCATCAGCTCGATCTATGCCTACAAGAGTCATGCCGATCGACAAAGTATCAGAGCATCAGAGACAGCAGTTGGTCATGCGCACATGCGACACTCCAACGCAGCCGGCGTGTCCGTGACAGTCGTGGACTTTGTTCGCATGGACGTGGCAACAGCCAAAGACAAAAGTAAGGCGTCTGCTGCGAAGGAGTTCCTAAAAAGCTACTGGTGCAAGCGGGTGGTTCTGCTGATGCGGGCTATGCATCCCTGGATCACTATGCAGTATGTCAGCTTGTTTAGGTCCCATGTGGTCCGTGCATCACTAATCATTCTGAAGTTGGTGTCCGCAGGGGCAGCCAACGCACTTTTTTTCACGGCTTCCGCTGTTTCCGCTGATTCAGAGAGAGACTGCGGGCCTCCGGAAACCTTTGGGGAACGTTTGCTTCGCGCTGGCGTTGTGGGCATACTCTCCGCTTGCATGGGGGACCTACTGATTCTGCTGCTGGCTGCCGTGCAACGGCGCCAGGTCATAATCCGGCGCTGGACCGAGGAGGCCAAGAAGCGACAGCTGCGGAGCTGGCGTTGTCGGCGCCATTTCTTTTGGTTGATCTGGTTTTTGGACATGGGCATGTCGATTCTGTACATATTTGGATTCCTTGCAAACGTGAGTGAAACGGATGGTTCGAAGTGGCTGGAAAGCACGGGGATGAGTCTGTTACAAGACCTTCTACTGAAGCCCCTCTACATGGCACTTCTCTACGGAACTGTCGCAACTATGGTTCTGTGTTGTAGCCCGAGTGTCGGGAACGAGATCATGGGTCAGTGGATGCAGCGAGACGAGGACGACGCCTGCAGAGACGATGTCCAAGCTCGGCCGGAGTCTCATGCTCTCAGGCCGGTATGTGAGTGTGATGCAGACGGCGAGATTCATGAAATTTGTATCGATACTCTCTGAAGCAGTACAGAGTCTACCCGCATCAGCGGCGGTTTGTCCGGCTAGAATTCAAGGAGGTTTTGGATAGTTTTGGCATTTTTGAGTCTGTGTTGTTGTGGTGCTTGAAGTCTCCGCAACACTTGTCCGTACCGACTCTACTTACCCGTGTCTTCATATAAGAAGTTGAGAGAAAGCCGAAGCCTAAGCCGCTTGATTTTCAGATCAGCAGGCACCTGGAGCCGCCTGTAGGCAATTAGCCGAACCGAAGAGCCAGGATTTTAAGGCCTCGACTATTTTCAGATCGTTAGCGGTCCAGAGCGGGTTGCTAAGCAAGCCGTGCACAAGCGGGACCTGTTTCCATCAACTGTATCCTTCGTTTGGCAAGGAGCTTTGACACTCTGCCTGGGTTTGTCCATGTTCTGAGATGCAGTCTTGTTCCTGTCTTTTCCTCCGGTTCAAGCGTGATACAGGAAAGGTTGGACATGGAAGCAGGTCCGAATAAATGTTTAACTGAAGTAGCCGGTAGTCTGCACATCCGGAGACAAAAAGAGATTTCGGCCTGCAAGTATCGACGTCCTGAAGGCCCCAACCCAGATGATTGTCCAGCTTGTGTCAGTCGAACTCGCATTCGCAGGTGGCCATTGGGAGGTGCTGCCACAGGCCGTCTCTGACGTCAAGTTGGTCTTCGGCCGTGGTGGTCTGGTTCAAGGCCCGCCCAGTGGATGAAGCGAGACATGGAATTGCTTTGCATGCTGTTTGGGTCCTTATTAGCCACCCCACAGTTTACGCTGTGTCTTGGGCTACTCTGCTTGCGAATCTCTGGGTTCGCAAATCAGGACCTTGTTTGTCCTTATGTTTCCAGTTGTTGTTATTGTCTTTCTTTTTGATGCATCTCCCCCAACTCCCCGCATTGCCTTCCGCTCGGCAATGTTCTGCTCACTCATTGTCCCCTTCACTCCCTTCATATCTGTATGTCTTCGTGCGCTGACAAGAAAATCATGCACGGTGATGCACCTCTCCCGAGCCTCACAGTCCCTGCTTATCTCTCATGTCCAGTTGTCTCGCATGACAATCCGGGAGCCTGTTGCTGACACACGAATTGTGGGGTTGGGTGGCCAAAACTTTATGGCGGACATATGCAAGCACCAACCTCTCACGTTTTGGTGGACTTGAGGTGAAGAAAGTCCAGTGCTTCCAAAGGCAATTTCCCACCGATGTCTTCCAGTCTTGGCCTCCGGCTCCCATGGCGCGGTTCCGTTCGGATCTGTGGCTGAAGGCAGCAGGCGTAGAGGCGTAGCTTGCAGGTTCATGCTTCTGAGCCCGTAACCAAGCCTCGGCAAGGGCTGATCAACTATTTGCTGGACTCGTACGGGAACCTGGATGCTGCTTGTTGCAGATAAGACCTGCAGTGGCAGTCCCCTTTGCTCACAGGTAGCCTTCATGCACCCCGCATGTGACGTGAATGGCTTGCCAGGATGCAAATTGCCAGCAGCTCACTGAGAGAAACGGAGACCGAAGATTTGCCGAGTAAAGGGGCCGGACCTGACAGCCTGAAGTTGTGCTGTGGTTGAGGAACATGGAAAGGATTGAATCTAGCTACAACGTTGGGATTCGCAGCGAGACACGCTTGAAATCGACACCTTGCGTGTTGAGGCCTTGGGCCTCCAGACCTTGGTGAGGGATTCATTGGATCGCTGGTTTCCCAAGACAAGAGGGATGGGGAAGCCGAGTTGCATGGTGCCCAGGAAATCTTTCTGACTTCGGTGTGGCCAGTGCTGGCGAGCGCCATCCCAGAGAGTCTGGCCCAAGCTTTCGTGCAGATTCCAAGGAGGCACCCCTGGCTTCTATGTGACGAATTTGCTTGGCACAGCTGCTCTGGAACTCGGAGCAACGGTATGGCCTCCGGACTCGCGAGTGTATCATTCGTGCCATCCGCTCGTCCCCTGACCTCTCAGAGCCTCCTAATCGACTCACCTCAGCAAATTGCCCGGCAGGGTTGGGCAGCTCCGGCACAGCTTCAACATCCGCGGCCGCTGCCTGCAACCCCTCAAGGACGGGGAGCGGTGCGAGACCGACCAGGCCGGTGGGTTGTTTGGAAGCCATTCGTGTTTGACGCATGCCTTTTTTGCACAGGGACGGCTTCCAATGTGCTTAGCTTCCTATCGGTCCTATCGTCTATCGGAAGCAGATGCAAAGATATCGCAGCCTGGCAGGTGAGCATTGAATTTCAAGACGTCACAGCAACCGCCATCTTGCCAAAGCCCCTGGCAGAGAAGTATCTTGTGAGCCGCGCGGCTGCACTGAAACTCGGTAGTTCTGCAGCAGCTACAGTATCAGTAGCGAGTGCACGAGCTCGCGCTTGCAATCTAGCAGGGCTGAATCGAATCCGGGCATTGCCACCCTGCAGCAGCTGAGGCCAGAACTGCACCAAGTCCTGTGAGGCTGGCCCCGTTGTGCTTCAGGGCCCCGACACGTGCTTGTGCCTGTGCCTGTCGTTGGGAGGCGATGCCACGGCTGCATTCCTACGTTAAGTCCTCGGAGGTGGTCCGGGCCACGAAATGTTCGGATCAGCTCTCACCACGGTAAAACCCCCGCTTAAAACCTACAGGCCGTTTCCGGTCCAACAATTTGCCCGTTCTCTGCAAGGGCCACCGAAAATTACAGCAGGTTGCTCAACAGGGGCATTGGGATCTAGACTGAGACCAACGATGAAGGACACAGCAGGGCGGATGACATGCAGTCTGCAAGGTCGAGAGCAGTCAAGCTCGTTTGAGGACGGCGCTCCGCCTCACACAACCCAGCCCCTGCATCCAAACCGTTGACAGTGGTAGTTAGCTAGCTTCTGTTGTGAGTCCCCAGCCTCCGTCCCCTGCCATATGGTGTCCACCCCGTCCCGCCACCTACTCGTTCCGGGGGCCGGGAGGTTGGAAATATCGAGGTATGTTTGGTCATGGGCGAAGCCATACCACAATATGTACATAGACGATATACACATACACACATACGTACATACGTACATACATACATACATACATACATACATACAGACATACATACATACATGCATCCCTACATGCATACATACATACCTACCTACCTACCTACCTACCTACCTACCTACCTACCTACCTACCTACCTACCTACGTACGTACGTACGTACGTACGTACGTACATGCATACATAGACACACCCATGCACACACACACACATGCATGCACGCACACATGCACACACACACACATGCATATATATATATATATAGATATGTATATACAGACACACAAACATATATGTATCTATGTATATACACAGGTATATATATATATACACATACATATACACAGGTGTTTATATATACATATACACATCTCTACACAGGTATAAATGTATATATGTGTATATACCGGTGTGGGTGGAAACTGCGTCCGCACTAAAGTCGTATATACCTACAAATACACATACACATGTTTATACATCTCCATATGTACATACATACATACATACATACATACATACATACGTACGTACATACATGCATACATATGTACACCCATACGTACTTACCTGAATATCTTTATACATACATACATACATACATACATACATACATACGTGCGTACGTGCGTACGTGCGTACGTGCGTACGTACGTACATGCATACATACCTTCGTACGTGCGTGCTTACCTACGCACGTATCGTATAAGTATAGACATACAAACTGGACCCTGCTTGTGTCCACTCCAAGAAGACACGTCGACATTGCAGATAGTGTCCATGAACACGAAATCTGTCGATATCTACAGGGCTTCTGTAACTAACTACACAGAGACACATTGGCAATCACATGGTCGAGGTCGGGTCCTTGGGGGGGTTGCCATAAATAAATAAATAAATGAATAAATAAATAAATAAATAAATAAATATATATATATATATATATATATACATATACGTATATATAGAAACAAGTATATCATATCATATATATCATATCATATCATATATATATATATATGCATAGTTGTGCGCTGTGCGTTCTGCCCCCCCCCCC